CATCAATCCGAATTACCAGGTGGGTTAGTTATTCTAAATACCTGTTCAATGTGTGTTTAAATATGTTTTTCGATTTGGCGTGATCTATGTATGAAAATGAACATGTAGCCTATCGATGTGAGTTGTTACGGCCGTCGGTACGGTTGTCCCCGTCGATGTAATACGGTTGTCCGTTGCGAGGCAAGTCTCCTTAAGACCTAATGAAAGGTCGTGCTCGTTGCGTGGCATGTACTCTCGCCGTTAGGGTAATGAATCCCCTTTCCGCGACTAATGAAAGATGTGGACACATGAGTATTTATGTTTATGTTATGTTGGAGATGAGACATAGGTGATATTGTTTATGTTCATGCTGCGACCATGCCTATTTAACATATTATAAAATGTGCATTGCATAGTGTGAGCATTATTTTCATCTTATGCTCACTCCCACCTGCTCTTCACGGATGTAGGTTAAGCAGTGGCGCGTGACGAGACAAGGCGAGTGGTGGTCTTGCCTGATATTTATGCTTATTAATTTGCTTCCGTTTCTTTTTTTCATGAACTTATGTTGGTTTATTGAACATGATGGATAATTAGATTTGAAAAACATGTTGATTTGAGAATTTCGAAAATGTTTTGGATGTGGTTTATGTTGAGAGACCCATCTTTGATACTTATGACGCTTATGCTTTTATTTAATTGCTATTTTGGATCTTGATAAATGTGTAGGTTCATTCTGATTTATTTTGTATGTTTGATAAATTGCTCTTGGTAAAATAAGTAACGCCCATTGAATTTTAAACTTAAACGAGATTTGCAAAAAATTAACTCTGATTTTTATTAAATAAATTCGATAAATCTTTTAAAATAAAGTGGGGCGTTACAGTTTAACTTGTGTATGAATGCTTGTAAATCATCCCCCAAACCACTTATAAAACTTGCTTAGGAAGTAGTCTTCAGAATAGGTTCCCATAATTTGCATGCAAGCTTTTAACTCTTCAAACTTCTCAACATATTCATCATATGAGCCCATCAATTTTAACTTGTTGAACTCTGCTATTATCTTGGACTCCCTCAATTTCTCAAATCTTTCAGAGATAACATCAACAAATTGTTGCCAGGTTAAGTCTAACTGCTGAGTGTTGAAATTCTGGTACCAAAGTGCAGCTTTGCCCTCCCTATGCATAGAAGCTAAAATGACTTTTTGTTGATCAGGTATATTAAGAACAAGCTTGAAATAACTATTACATTTAAGAATCCATGATCTAGCTTGATTTTCATCAAACCTGGGGAAATCTACCCTGGGAACTGGGTGAATCATGTGGGTTGCATTGGGCTCTGGTAAGAATCTTTGCCTATGTGAACTTTGATCTCTGCTGCCTGTGCTTTTCCCCCAAGGATCCCCTAAAATGGATTCCTCCTCCAAAGGCCCTTTTCCTTTAGACATGTTTAGTAGTTGAAGTTGGATTGAAGCTAAAGTGTTTGTCAATTGGACATACTTGCCATTTAACCCTTGCATCTCTGTGCTTATGCCTGATATTTGTTCCTGCAATTTGAGTTCTGTGGCTTCCCTTTTCAATGACTCAGTTTGCAGCACCTGATCGATCTTTTCTTGTGCCTCTTGTAGGTCCTTCATCCTTGTTGCTTCAGCCATGGCCGATCTGGATACCAAATTGTAAAAACCAGCAATATTTTTGTAATTTTTTTGTTTTTTAATTTAAGAAAAGATAGACTGTAACTTGGAAAAGAAGAAGATGAGGAAGTAGATGAGGGAGGAAGAATGTAGAGAGAGAAAGACGTAAGAGAGATAAAGAGAATAATTTTGTTATAACTGATTGCCTTTTCCATTCTTGCTCACTGTGCATATATGCACCTGAATAACTGGGCCATATAATTTGTCTTTTTCTTAGGAAATAAACTACTAAAATAAATACTAATTGGACTACTTAATACATAAGCCCAATAACATAGAGACAATACTAATGATAAAGCTACTGAACTTCTCGAGCCTCCTTGCCAACTTCAATGTGTTGCTCTTCAACGTAGCCCAAACTTTTCTGTGTCACCGCATCAACTTCACTCGATATATCCCTTTTTCTCACTTTAGTTATTTCTTCACACAAATCGGTCGGCAACCCTAAAGACCCTCCATTTCTATCTTCTCCGGTTTCCAAGCTAGCTCATTTTCTGATCACTTCCATCAGCACATCCTCTTTGTTCATAACACCTAGCTTGTCGCTGGTCTCTTGCTACCTCGTCGACCTTGTCCCCAACCGAGAATTTCACCTTCATGTAGTAGGTTGATACTGTTGCTTGAAATTCATTTAGACAGGGGTGTCCAAGAATTATGTTGTGCGCTGAGCTGATTACCACTACCAGGAAGCAGAGTATATTAACCTTCCTGAGAGGTGGCTATCCCAACGCTACAGGTAGACGTACCTCCCCTATTTGTGTGACCTCACTGCCATTGAACTCATAAATGATCATGTTCAATTGTTCGACCTTGATGTCCAGGTCCATCTATCCTAGACAGTGTAGAAAGTTGACGTCTTTACTGATCTCTCAGCTTTGATGAACACACGTTGCACATCATAGCTGACGACCTTGTTCNAACTTCAGAACGACCTCAGGTTTCTTAACTTTCAACTACCTTTTTTGCCACGATAAGTTCTCTTTTTCATATTATGAGAGTCCTTATCAGTGGGACCTCTCGCGATCATCTAGATCACACCCCTCCTTGGTGGTCTTTATTTGGGCTTATCAGGTCGCTGCCTTTTCTCTGTAACCTTACGGTCTTCTCTTTTTTCATTCTCTCGCAACACAAACTCCTTGAGTTGCTCGGCTCAGACTAGCCTCTCAGTTTCATCATTTAGCATGCGACAACAGTTAGTAGATTGACCATAATCTTTATGTGCCTACAGTACGGGTCACTCAAAGAGGGAACATACCCTTAATTCTTAGGGATGGGGGTAGGTTGGGCAAAGATGCCCGTATCCCCCCTCTTTTCGAGGGCCTCGAACACTTATTTCTAGATTATGGTTAACGGTGCGTACTTTCCATACTTGTACCCTCATCTTATTTCGCTCCTCTGTCCCCGATTCTCTGTTTGAAGACCTTTTTTCATCTGAGCGAGGCTTTTCCTCAGCTCGCTTGACCTTGGCCTTGTTATTCTTTAGAAAATCGGCCTCTGTCTCCTCCATATTGATGTATTTTGAGCATCAGTCAAAGAGCTTATTATAAGACTTTTCTTGCCTCTTTGCTGGCGAATTCTGACATGCTTCTAGTAAGACCTCCCATCTTGATCTCCTCAGATGCTGAGGGGACCTCCACACACTATTTAGTATATCGGGCTACATATTCTCAGAGAGTCTCCCTTTCTCTCTGTTGCATGTAGATCAAAATTAGGTAGGTCTTCTCGTTCTTGCTCACGTGGGAAAACTGGTTGATAAGTTAAGAGCTCAACCTCTCAAAGTAATATACCGATCCAGCCGACAACTGATTAAATCAGTCATATGCCGACCCCTTCAATGTGGTAAGAAAAACTCTACAGAAAACTGCATCGTTGTACCGATGTAGAATTGTTTTATTCTCAAAACTCCTAAGGTGTCTACCTAGGTCAGTTGAACCATCATAGGGCTTATCGGCTCGCGAAAGTTGTTCAAAAAATTGGCCTCTAAGACCTCTTCAACAAATGAATGGTAGTGAATTTGAGGAGCTACCTTGCCCTTTACCTGGGTCTGTAGCTTGCGCAATTGGGCTACCAATCTCTGTAGGGTAGTATCCCTGGACGGTCTACACATGGTGTTAGGCGACGATGTTGACCTCACCTCTATCACATCTGCCTCTGCCATAATTCTGTCCAGCTCTGCCCTGGTGAGCGAATAACTTGATCTCCCGAGCCTCTTGCACCCTGGGATTTTCTAATTGCTCATCCTCCTGCTACTGAGGTCAATTGACCCCTTGATCTTGTTGAGTCTCGTCACCCCCCCACGACTACCTGTCATTGCATATTTTCCACCCTAGTACTTATAGCTTCTGCCTTGATGAAGGTCGCTCTGACACATTCAATAACGGGGTAAAGGCGGTATACGACACCGGTAGTATCACATTGAGCGTGGCCTTCACGCTGATTTGCTTTGACCAACTAGGAGAGGGGCCCAAGCCCAAACGAATTCAAGAAACCCATGCTTCCTCCATATCTTTCGCCATATTCTTCTTTGAACTATCTCCAACCTTGATCTTTGAATTAAACTTCCAACAACTTTGTAGAAACGAATTTAGCCTCTGATAGCCGATAAAAATTAGATTGTTCCCCACAGACGGTGCCAATTTGATATGCAAATTGCCTCCAATCAAGATTAAACTAGCACCCCCACGAACGGTTTCTCAACTCGAGCTCCGATGACCTACAATACGCCACAGAGGAGTCCCGTCGAAAAAACCTCTAACGCTTAAGTAATTACTCGCTCGTAAGAATATCGAAAATTGTATGTTGTAAGCGTAAATATGCGTTATATAAAAGTAAAACCTGATCACCTCTTATATACCGAAGATGTCTTGCTGTCCAAGTAGAGTCCTTGCTAGGAAAAAGATCCTACCATATCTTCCTTCATAGCTTAACACGTCTTTGAAATCTACTCTCCCCAGCTAGATATGCTTTCCATCCTTAGTAGGATTCTGTCCCCTCTTACTGTACGACTCTTAGGTACCTAGATCGTCCTAATGACTTCACGACCCGATTTCCATAAGCTCTTACAAGGTCAAAAGACCGACCTCCACTTATTTGTCCGAGCTCCTGGGGAGCTCGGTCCCTAGGTCTCCTTACAAGATTGACTTGCACCTTACCTAAGCAAGCTCCTTGACGAGGTTAACACTCACATGGAGCTAAGGCTCTCTTGAACCGGTCATGCCCAAAATAGCCACTCAAACCGGTTCACCGAAGTATTCTGGTTGTTATATAATTAATTAATTACCCATATCAAAGGTATCATAAGCCCCAACCAAACACCACAAATGCGTGGATTTAATAATAAATGGACTAGCATGAAGTTCCGTAAGCCAAACCAAACACGTTATAAAAGAATAACACTATCCATCATCCCCCCACGGAATAATCTGCGCAACAAATGGCGACAGCGAGATTCTTTCACCTGAAAGCGGCGATCAGCCTGCGCGGATGGACATCGTCGCCTCAGCCGCCGGCACTTCTCCACATCCGGAACGGAGCCCTTCGAACGTTTTCCTCCGCCATGTCTCCGCCGTCGAAGGCCATCGTCTACCACGAGCAGGGCCCTCCCGACTCCGTGTGCAAAGTGAAAGAACTGCCGCCGGTGCCAATTAAAGACGGAGACGTTTGTGTCAGGATGCTTGCTGCTCCAATTAATCCATCTGACATTAATCGAATAGAAGGTCTTTTTTTTCACTTTCAGCATCACTTGGGCTCTGAATTCCTTCTTCTCTCAAGGAGTGGTTGAGTTTGTTATTTTGTAACTTCTTTGTACACTTTCACAGTGTTATTTATTCTATCTGAACACTTGATTTGCTGAGTTTTGTTCTTTTTCCCTTATCTCTTATGTTTGAATTTATTTTTATTTTACTTTGTACTTGAAGCTGTAATAGTCTGTGAAATACAGGAGTATATCCGGTGAGGCCACCAGTTCCTGCTATTGGTGGATATGAAGGGGTGGGAGAGGTACATTCTGTAGGCTCTGCAGTTAAGGGGCTTAGTCTGGGTGATTGGGTCATCCCATCTCCACCATCTTCAGGTAGTGATCAATTACTTCAACAGGATTGAATTAAAATGATTTTCTCTAAAATGAGTTTTGAGGTTTATAGACACATTTAGTTCATCTATTTTTCCTGTCAAGATGAGAACACTCCTTTGAAGCAATCATTGGCTGCTGCTTTAGTTTCTTTCCTTCTTAGTAGAGTTCTAAGTTCAGAGGTTGAATTCATGTTGAAATTTGGCTGAACCCTTAATTGGTAAAGACTTTCTTTCGTTTAGTCAGAAGCATATGACTAGTAGAACTCTGACTTTATATAAAATGCTGTAGCTTCAGTAGTACGAAGCATCATTGAAAACTAAATTCATCAAGCATTTATCGAGGTATCCTACAAAAACCCTAAGCAGTTTGTTTTAGCATTGTAATTAGAGTTAGTGATGCATGTAATTAGTGTTAGTATTGTGGAATATGCCGGTGAAGGCAGTCCATCCCCGTGTTCGTTACTAGATAAATGTATACATGCATCATTTAAATAACCCTAAGAGTCCTCTTAAGAAAAGGACAGGAGAAAAAAAAACCTTAAATTGCAAAATTTTTAGTCACTTGCCTCTTCTAGGCTATATCACGACCTTGATCGGAAGTCGGATGAACGGTGATCTCCAAGCGGTGGAGAAGAGCAAGCTGCTTGCATTTCATTTACCAACCCTCCAGAGTGTGTGTGCGGCATTGTTTGCTTGTGTTGGTCTTTTGTAGGGTTTAGAACAGAAACAAACTTTCTGTTTACAAGGCTCCATAAAGGTCCTTGGTCCAGACTAGGGATCTCGGAGAACGTATAGGGTTTGGGCTTCCTACAAGCCCAAACATTTATGGTTAGCCCGAAGAATAATTCTTTCTGTAAACATCAATTCATTTCACTAGAGAATCAATGTTGCAATGCCTGTCTATCCTGAAAAGAATAATTCTTTAAGACTCAATATAATTTCTCGTGTTAGTGATAGCACGTCTATTAGAGCTTCGTACCGCTTTGATTAATTAATTTATTTATTCGTTAAGTAGTAGAATTCAAATTCATTATCATCATATAGATTAAATCCGAGTGCATGTTTAATACGACAAACCTTATGTGCTCGTTAAGAGGATGTTATTGACCTGATGACCAGAATATATTGCCATAACATCAATAATATGACCAGAGTAAATATGACTCCTATGGCAAATAAAAACAACTAACCAATATCCTGCATACCAAATTATTGCACATTGGGTTAAGAATTAGCAATGTCATCGAGACCTCAATTCTTCATGATAGTCGGAACGGAAGAACATGCCTCAGTTATGATCTAGTCAATGCGACGCAGCACACTAGTATAAATGATTAGCCTAGATAAGCTAGTTACAAGTTTATACTACAACTTAAGCCGATGGTCATGTCCAAGACTATCTCAGTTATAAATAGCGTTTATATTTAATATGGAACCAACAATGTGACCTATTGTGTGACCCATCGTTTACAATATAAGATCAATGGTTGTTTAAGCAATAACAAAGAATGCAATAATGTGAACATTTATTTCATTTAACTATGGAATTGAAAATACATTCCAAAAGGTCACACAAAAGTTATTCTGCTGTATACTCCAACTAGTATCATGAAGTACTAATCAAATTTAGTCATTCTTATCATTCTTTTAACTGAAAATTCTTATGCTTGCGTGCTCTTGATTCTTTCTTTCTTGTGTGGGATGGGCTCATTCATGTCTTCCCCTTAGAAGCCTGGCAAATGTTGTCCTTGTCTGTGCTATAGAAACCTGGCAAACGTTGTCAATTGTCCTTGTCTGTGCTATTTTTTTGCTCATAGGAGGCCATGTCATCTGACACAAGCTTCTAGACTTCTAGTTGGTTCATCCGCAAGCTGCACGATACTTGGAAATGTCCTGCTCCTTACATATGTACTTCATCTATAGGTGCTTTTATATCCCAAATAATTTGTTATATGACCTGACAGAAGTGATTAAAGTAATTAGTACTGGTACTTTATTAAGTAACACCAAGATCCTTTGACAATGAAAGCTTGTTTTTAGATATTATTTGCTGAAAATTGAGGAAAATACATGAGAAGCTCATGTTCTATCTGACTGGTGCATTTCAGTTAGTATCTTAATTTCAAAAAAAGAAAAAGACCACTGATAACTTACCCTGAAGTTGTACGTGATGGTTTATTTGACCCTTTATCGTATTGAATAAGGGGATTCAGGTTCTTACCCTTTAAATTACAGTCGAAGTCTCTTTATTCTGATATATTTTTATCTACATCATCTGTGACAGCCTCTTCTGCTCAGGTACATGGCAGACATATCTTGTCAAAGAGCAGAGTGTCTGGCATAAAATTGATAAAAGCACACCAATAGAATATGCTGCCACTATAACTGTAAATCCTTTGACTGCCCTGAGAATGCTGGAGGACTTTGTTGATCTAAAATCAGGTGCCACTTGATGCCATTTCTAACCTTCTTGTTGCCATTTTCATGCTTCATCCTAATCTACTTTGATTTGGAATAGGTGATACTGTTGTTCAGAATGGTGCCACAAGCATTGTTGGGCAGTGTATCATTCAGCTTGCCCGGCTTCGGGGCGTTCACTCTATTAACATTATCAGGGACAGGTGTACTTTAATTATCCTAAATTTTGACATTTCCCTATGTGAGTGCCTCATATATTGAAGTCATATTAGCTTGCAGTTCTCTTATGATTTGTTGGACCTGAATAATTTTCACTCAAGACTGGGCATTTTGTGTTGGGATCCATGCTATTCTATGAATATTCCCCTGTGACCACCCTATAGTTGTATGATCTACTTCAAAGAGAAATTGTCAAGACATGTTAAGTGATATACTGATATTATTCTGGCGCAACTTGTGTCCCAAACAATATGTAGTGTGGGCAGTCATCTGATAGTTTAGAATCTACTATCTCAGGGAAGGATCTGACGAAGCAAAACAAAAGCTCAAGAAACTCGGTGCAGACGAGGTGTTCACTGAGAAACAACTGGAAGTAAAAAATGTCAAAAGTCTATTGGTATTATTTGCAAACTACAATTGATGTCATTCATGGCATAACTACTCAGTTTCAGACTCGATATATGCATGTATATTTTGATGTTTAATGGTACTTTATGTAAGCTTTCTCTTTGAGTTGGTGGTATAGTACTGGGCGCCTTTAATGCCTCTGGTAGTTTGCATTTATTCATTCTTTGGCCTTGGCTGAAGTAATCTACTATATCTTACCTTTTGCAGGCTGATATACCAGAACCCATATTAGGATTTAACTGTGTTGGTGGAAATGCTGCTTCATTGATTCTTAAATTCCTGAAGTGAGACATAGTCCTATATTTCTAGATTGTCTGTTTTTTCTCCTTGTCATTTTCCTTACCTGAGAACATTACAATCTCATCTCCAGACATGGTGGAACTATGGTTACATATGGTGGAATGTCAAAGAAACCTATAACTGTGTCCACTTCATCTTTCATATTCAAGGTAAGACTGCTGTATTGCCAGTCGACTTAAAGCTTTGTGACTCTTCACTGCCGTCTAGCCTGTTCCTAATACATATTTCTTGCAACTTATAGTTTGTCCTTTTATTTGTATCTGCAGGACTTATCCTTGAGAGGATTCTGGTTACAAAAATGGATGGGTTCTGAGAAAGCAAAAGAGTGCCGGGATATGATAGATTACCTTTTAAGTCTGAGTCGTGATGGTCAACTGAAATATGAGTATGAAACTTTCCATCCTTTGTGATGTCTCTGTACACCTATTTCCGTATTCCTTGAGTTTGCACTCTGTTTTTTCTGCTGCAAATTTACAAATGTATTTATTGTTACTTATTTCATGATAAAGTCTGCCTATTTTTAATTTTTCATTTTTTTTCTGTGAAAATGATTTGTCTGCTCATGTACTTCAATATTGCAAACAGTTGAGCGACTGATTGTTTGAACCGAACTTCATTAACTGTGTTTTATTAAAATGTTGGTTGGAATTGCTCGCCTTAATAGTGACCTGTTTGTCAATTGCAGCATGGAGCTTTGCCCTTTTGATGAGTTTCCCACTGCATTGGACAAGGCTTTGGGAAAGCTGGGAAGCCAACCTAAACAGGTGATTAAGTTCTAGTTTCCTGCTGCAGTGATGAGTATCTCCTGAGGTACATGGTCTGTAGTTTCTCAGTGCTTTGAACCACGCAATTGGGCAACACTTGAAATTTCAGCCGACTATGATGCAAAGTTAAGTGGCTTTGTTGGTAGCATGTTGTAACCGTGTTAAGAAGTTTTTTAATTAAACTAGCTTGCATATGAATTGGTTTGCCACCTTGCCGTCTCATTATGTTGATAGATGGGTCTCAAACTTGATTCCTATTTTCTAATGTTGTTATCGTTGGCTCCACGTTGTCTCTCTATTACAAAATTAGTTACAATCAAACATGGCCATTGGATTGGGCCAAACCAGGTCAATGACTGTAGTAGGTTCGAATCTGTTGAACAGCGAAACTGTGTCGATTCCATATTGGAACAGATTGAAACCCAAACCGGTTTTCCTATCATCTATATATATATATATATATATATATATATATATATATATATATATATATATATATATATATATATATATATATATATATATATATATATATATATATATATATATATATATATATATATATATATATATATATATATATATATATATATATATATATATATATATATATATATATATATATATATATATATATATATATATATATATATATATATATATATATATATATATATATATATATATATATATATATATATATATATATATATATATATATATATATATATATATATATATATATATATATATATATATATATATATATATATATATATATATATATATATATATATATATATATATATATATATATATATATATATATATATATATATATATATATATATATATATATATATATATATATATATATA